AGTTAGAATTTAAATGTGTGGCTTGTCTCAGCATTTCATACTCTGATATACAAATGTTACAGGGTTAAAACCAGTGTGTTGTAAGCAGGATGATATGGCTTTTTTGAATAGTTAGTACCTGGTAGAACTAAACACCATCTCACAAACTGTGATTATGGTCTGTCACGACATGAAAAACAACTGGGCTGGTAATTTTAATATTTTACCACATTTTACTGGGAGGCCATGGGCAGGGTGATGCATGTCTAGATTATGTTCTGGTCTCCAGGGATCAGTGTGTGTTCCTAAGGGCAGTGTGACAGCAGGAGCTTGGTAGTTCAGCAGCCACCAGCTGAAGTGGCTCAGTAATGTCCTATCACATTCATTAGGTTCCTAAATGGCTACAAATAGGAGGCCTTGATTAATCAGTTTTATGCACTCTATGAAAGTTGTAGGTGATGAATCTCCATGGAAATGTTTCAAGGAAAAGCCCAACATTAAGTCTCCATTTTAAACCCTGAAATAAGGCCAGGGAATGCAATTCTGGAGCACTGTTGGTCCAGTATATTTGTATCCTTGTCCAAAGTAATTTACCACAGATTTTACAGTCCTCTTTTTGCTGCTGTGATAAAGGACTTAGCACATGTAAGCCATAATGCAGCAAATGAATAAAAGCATTGATTTTGAGTGAACAAAAAGCTGAGCTAACAGGAGGTAATTAACACAGACTTTCCTCCCCTCCCAGCAAGGGCTGCCTGAAAGTGAATATTTCAGAATACTGTCAGTTTTACAAAGACAGCTGGAGTAAATACCTATAAATTCAAACTGCGCACTGTTTTTTCATTAAGCAACTGCAATGAATGTGACTCAAGTTACAGAGTTCCAGAACTAGTTGTAAGCAGATCTGCAATGGAAAACATATGCCAGATTATGAAGGATCCCAGCAGGCAATAACTGCTTGGCTGTGAGCTGTGTGCAGGACAGCTCTGTGTCCTGGTGAATTGTCCATAGTAAATACCACAGTTTAATCCATTAAATGCACTAAAAGAACAAAAAGGTCCTCAGTATGTCTGAGTTCAGGAAGCATTTGGACAACACTCTCAGGCCCGTGGTGTGAGTCTTGGGAAGGTCAGGAGTTGGAGTTGATGATCCTGGTAGGTTCCTTGCAGCTCAGGATATTCTGTGATGCTGTGTGTCTTCCCTGCTGCAGTAAGTGAGCCATGTTCCACATCCCCTCTCTTCTGGGATGTGGAAGGAGCCCCACAAGTAGCTAATACAGCCCATGCAAGTGGGCTGGCCATCAGAAGGTGGAGTCACTTCTTGGAGTTTTGAAAGAAAGTATGAAAACATTTTATAGCTGAATATCCTTCTGGTGAAGGAAGATGGTGTTGAGTTGTTTATAGAACAAGGAAAAAAGCTGGCTGTAGCATTTTGTGTCCTCTTGAGACACACACTACTCAGTCTCCCCTCAGTTTTTCCCTCCTGACCAGTGTATACTCACATAGTAGAAACTTCAGCAGTTCTCTTTGAAATTGGCATTCCCAGATCTGATAAGACTACAGACCAGAAAACTTAAATGCTACAGAGAACTCTAGAATTTCTTACCTCCACCACCAAGTTCAAGTGGGGGGGTGATAAGGAAACGGAGCTCTTTGAAACAAGTAAACAGACAGAACAGGAGCAGGACTCAAGAGGACTCCCAGGACACTTGGAAATAATTGATACTTTTCACATAACACACAGTAACACAGCAGCAAAAGAATGATTAAAGACAGACACCTTATAGCAACACAGAGTGCATCTGAGCGGATTTTTGGGGGAGATGGTGAGAAAAAACAGGAATGGGAAGTACAAGAGAGGTTTTATCAATGAGCTGCCTGCTGCTACACATGACCTGTGGCATTTATGATATCAATCATTTAATCTTTCCTCCCAAGATCCTGATTTTTTTTTAAATGTTAGTTGTTGGGCTATATCCCCACTTCATCACATCAAGAAGTAAAACTAATTATGCATTTTGTTACAATTAGTTTGTTTATGCCATATAAAAAACATGGATCAAATTAATACCTTACACAAAACACTTCTAGCACTAGAATTTTTGAAGCAGAAGTTTAATTAGGTCTTAGATTAAAATGTGACTCTTCTGAAAACTATGGAAGAACTTGATGCAAGAAACCAAATAACATGTAACAAAACCACTCTCTTCCCTGCCATAGCCCCACAGGAAGATGTGAGTCTTTCCATAAATGGAATAAATAATACTCTGGGGATACTCAGGAATGCATATAGTGGTTAGTTTTAAACATGATACAATAAACCATTGTATAGGGATAATTCTAGCAGTCAGTGGACATGAATGTAAAAAGGGTTGAGTCATGGAGAGGCAGAATTGAGCGTACAAGAGGCATGTTTAAAAACCCTTGGTTATCTAGGTTAGGCTGATGTAAAATATCCAATTTACTGGACCCTCAGCTCAGCAGTACCAGAATTTTTTTGTTACCAGGGTAACAAAACTCTATATGCTGGCCTTTGTAAGTGTATGATCAAAGGGATTATCCAGTTTCCACCCACTGTGTGCAGGCTGCCAATTTAAATATTTACTACCCCTTGAACTGGCCAGCCAGGAACGCAGCAGCACAGAGGGGTATGAACCACATATGTACTGCCACTGACCTGGGACATGTTCTGCTTTCGGGATAAGCTACAAGAGAATTCTGAAGTGAACATGCTGTGGCTACATTAGTAGAATAATTTACTATGTGCTCTAAAAAAAATAAACATTAGAAACACCCAACCAAAAAAGCATTTACAATTGTGCTGCAGGAAGAGCATTGCTTCAGTGATGTCTCAAGAGAGCTGTGCTTGCTGTAAGCCTACCACTTGAGCTGCATAGTTTCATTATAGATTAGGAATTCATAAAGCTCTAAAGTACTAATTTCCTTTTAAATGCTGTTGTTCTATTAAGTGATTTGAATGGTTAGCAATTTTCTGTACACAGCCAAGCTGTCTTTTAAATGTGGTGTAAAATTAAGCAAACAAGAGGAAACTGGGTTGTTGGGTTTTCTTTCCTTTTACTTCAGCTGCCTTGTGTGGTCTACCTTCATGAGGTAGAAAAAAATTCAGGTGTCCCCTGCTAAATGCACTTTATTTATATCACCTCATTCAGAACATTCCTCTTCATAACCAACAAATATAAGGCAAGCTCTAAAGATTTTTTTTCTTTGTATTTTACTCACTAGTAGAATGTAATGACCAGAAAAGTGCTAGGAAAATAAATATAAATATGCATTTGTTACCCTTTTCAACTAGGATGAACATAATAAACATGTCAGTTTCCTCACCTAGTCTGGCTTAGTACTGAGAATAAGCTAGTCTTCCCTGTGCTAAATACACAGATGTATTTAGATTTGCTCCCAGCATTCTGTTCTCAGAATTCTAGGTATCAGTTCCAATTAATCTCTCTCAAAGCCCATGCAGCTTTTTGCTGCTGTTTTTGGTTTCTGTCCAGTTTGTTACTAACCCTGTCTTAGATGGTGTCCAGAACTTAACACCAACCAAGCTGTGGCCTCACAACCACTGAACATTTGCTGAAGCAATGTAATTTCTGTGCAGAATTTTTTCTCATTGCAGCTTTCATGGTACAAGATATTTATAAACTGAACAATCTCAAATAATGTATTTAAACTTTAAAGGAATCTTAGTACTTGGCTCTAACCTATGTTTTTTAGAGATTCTTAGAAACACAGCAGAGAGAAGCAACCACTGCTCAGCCCTAGTGTTTTCTTGCTCTTTTCCTTCATGTTGGTGTTTGGCTTTTTTTTTTTTTTGGTCCCTATAAGAGCCCATTGCATGTAACATTTTGCCTTCTGGCTTTCTTCTTCTGTAGAGTGTGGCAAAAAGCACTTCCTTAGCATATGCTAGTTCAAACACACTTTTCTTTTTACTTCATCCTTCCACTTGAAAAAAGAATTCTCCACATTTTAAATAGCTGACTGGAAAAAGGAATACCACTGTGTTTTTCCAGCTTGTTATGGAATATACGGAGCTTAGAACTGTTCCTTACAAATTTCATTTACCCTTAGTGTTTTGGTAAGAACACCATTAGCAATGATTTTTCTTTTCTGGCTTTTAAATGAATGCAGAGGTTAATTGTTGTGGGTCTGATGGAAGGAGCTGCTGAAGGCAGTTAGCAGGGAAGCTGAAGAGCTGCAGTTGCTTAAGAAAGCTCACAAGAGATAGCTGACATATTTTCGCTTGTTGTCAGCTGGTGCTCTCATAAGAGCATAGACAGCATGAGTGAATGTAGGAGGAAACAATACATCTGCAGACACTGGCAGACAGCATTGCTTGCCAAATTTGGCCACAGTTCCTTTAGATAAATAATTTCTCAGTGACGTGCTGTGTTGAAATTATATAAACAGCAAAAATTACAAGACCTGGGCCCCAGGGTCTTGAGGGTTTCAAGATTTTCTGCAATCAATATTCTGACATCTGCAAATATTTTTCCCCTAACAGCTGATGCCAGAAACAGAGCAACATTACCATTATTTTCTATGTATTCAAGATTTCTAAAATATTGAAATCTTGTCTCTTCAGCCCCAGTCCTGGTTAGGATCTTTGCACTATCATAACCATCAGCCCATATGAGAAGGCTTTTACAAGAGTTATCAAAAGAAACCTCTTACAGCAACTTCATCAGCATCTCTGTATTATGTTTCAGTCTCCAGAATCATGAAGGAGTTTAAAGAAACTTCTGTTGAACATGATGTAGCTTACTTTGCACATTGCAGGAATTGGATTTTCCTCCTTAGGACCAGACAATAGCTAGCTAACTCTGTGGTAAGAGTTCCTTGATAGTTAATATAGTTCCACTATAAGAGCCATACACACTAGAGCTATCCAAAGTGTCTTCTGTCACTGAGGAATTTATGCAGGAAACCAATGTGGAAGACTCCCTGAACAGAAACATCCCATGGGAAAACCTTACCTGACTTTTACAGAAGCATCTCTAGACAATCTTTTGAAGTTATAAAACCAAATCATTTATTGAACAGGTATTTTTTAAAAATCAGTTTCCATAACAGAAATCAAACCTATGCCTGGCAGTCACATCCTTGAAGGCAGCAGCTGTGGAACATTGACAGTTACCCATGGCACTGAGGAAACATGCAAAATGAGTAACGGCATTTATTACTATTTCCTAAGTAGCAAAGACCAGACAGGGATAAAAATGTACTTTTAAAACTTATGCTTTTCTTTTGATGATATAATCTCCAGCACCTGGCCTTTCCTCTAGCAACACTCCCAAAGTAATACTGTTCTCTGAAAATACTGTTCTCTGAAACTAGTCTGAACAAAATGAATACTCTTTGTTCCATTTTCAGTCCCCCATGTACCAAACAGGAACAAAGCAGAGATATGCAAGTACAGAAAAAAGTCTCAAACACTTTCTTATTTCAGTCTTACCTTAAGGCAAACTTGTAAATTTTAAGGGAATATCTCGAGAATTAAGCATAGAGCTTATGAAACTCTTTTTTTCTTTGTTGTTTTTGATCAAAGTTAACTTTCTTAGAGAACGGGTATGCACAGCAATAACCTCTCAGAAGTGTCTTAGGATAAGACCATGTTAGTGATGTTTATGTAACTTTTGCATCTGCAAGTATTCCTTAAACTGACATTTACAGTCTAACTGTACAAGACAAAATTTCAGTAGTTCAGAGCACAGTGTGACATTATTTCAATGAGTGTAAATGCTGAGGGCAACAAGGTAAAACTGCCTCAGTATTTCATTTCCACACAAAACATATGAAAGGAACAACAAAGTAAGTTATCTTCTCAGAGCCTTATGTCTTTAAAAAAAGGATGCAGTAAAGCCTCTTTTGCAGTTATTCTTGTTGCAGGGTTTAAGTCTAGTAGCTTATCAAGTAGATCATACGCTTCATCAGGAACCTGATCCCATCCTTTCATGTCAGTTGTCTTTGTTTCCAAAGCACCATCGCCTTCCTGAAAACTCTGTAAGTGTTGAATTTGTTTTCCAAGTGTCTCAGGAGCACAGGATTTGTTTGCTGCAACTGACAAAGCTGTGTTGTTTTCAGACCTGCTGGGCCCTTCCCCCTGAGATCTCTTACAGCTGCTATTTGTTCCTCTCAGTTTTTCACAGAGGGTTCGTAGGTTTTGAGTTGGGACAACTTGGGTGCACACAACTGATTTTCCTGGGGAAAAGAAGTTGTACAGGAAGCCACATTTTATTATACTTTCTATGCAACTGTAACTTTTATTTCAGAGAAACTTCATGTCTCAAAGTATAACTGGCATGAAAGAAAATCATCCTAAATCTATGAAAGAACCAAATCCAGCTGCCCACACCTCCACACCAGCCCTGCTGTGACAGAAGCAGCCCCTGAGAGTCAGAAGGGGTCATCATCTCAGTTCTGCTCAGAACAAAGAGCTTTGGGTTATGTGAAGTTAGGTAGTGACAGGCTGTCAGCCACCTTGTACACAACCTTTTGCATTTCACTGTCATTTTAACAGAACTGAAGACAATTAAATACCCTGATTTTTACACCTCTGTCTGGAGAATGAAAATTGATGCTGGCAGTTACACATCCAGCTAGTAAGCGCTGCAGCATTTAGCCTGCAAGCAATTAGGGGAATGGTTATTTGGATATTTTTGTTTTGTGGTGATTGTGTGTATTTTAAACAGGCCAGCTGTTGGGTACTGGGTTTTTAGCTTGTTTGTTTTACTAGGCCTTTTGGGGGAAGGGGTAGGGGGAAAAGCAAGGTTTACATCATCTAAATTTTAAGTCACATTGACTTAAGCCTCCAGGTGAATTTTGTAGAAATAGAAACACTGTCTCAAGAATTCTAACCAAATGCCAGTAGGAAACATTTCGTTGGCATACTTCACCTCAAGTAGCCCTGACTTAGTGAAAGGCAGTAGACAGGTTGAGAAAACTATGGCATAAAGTACCCCATGCACACATTGTAAAAGACAGAAAAATACAAAACTGTCTTTAAAGTCTGTCAATATACACTTCAAAAAACGTGATTTACTTCCAAAATTACTCTCAAACCTAAAAATATATTTATTTACATAAAAATTGATTGTAAATCACAGCATTAAGTAATATTTTCCCCCTTCCCCCATAATAAAGGTTTGCATACCAAAAGTTCTAGCAGCCTGAATAGTTTCTCTGGATCCACGAACTGTCATGATTTGTGCCAAAGCAGTTAAATCATCACTTGCTTTGAAAAAAGGATACCGTCCACTGAGTAGAGAGAGGAATATGATTCCTGCAGACCACATGTCTATTGCTGCAAAGGAAAGCAAATTTATTAACAACTAACTCAATTTCATCACAAACAAAATCTCAACTTTAAAAATAAATTATGATCTGAAAACTTTCTATCAGCAAAAGTTATGTTCTAAAGTACTTCTTTACTTTGGTCACAGAGATAATATATCAGATAAGAGTGGAAATTTCTGTAATTAGATTGAAGACTAATTTCCTACTTTGATGCAGAGGGAGTTTTTTTTCGTATGAGTAATTCCATTAACTTGCTGAACTTAAAATGAACCAAAACAATGTTTGAAGTTGTTTTACCTGGGAAGATGAGAGAGGGCAAATGAAATGGCTGGTTTGATATGTATTTAACTTTACTTCATATGAAGTATTATAAGGGTCATATTATTATAAGGGTCATAAATAAAAAACAACTCACAAATGTTTGTGAAATAATTTTTTGGGAATTGAGGCTGGCACAGTAGGCAGTACTAAGAAATTGATCTTATTATGAACTTTGTTCTTCTCTAATATGAACTCACTTGACAAGATCGGCAGTTTAAAAACCATAATAGTTCAAAGTTATTCATCACTTTCATTGTGTTATGAAGAGTACAGAGAGTACTTTGGGGAGAGAGGCCAAAGCCTGATGGAAACTTCAGTGCTGGAAGTTACAAGAATACCTGTCTGCCATAATTTTTTTGGCTCACTAAGGTGCACATTTTAAGAGATGGCAAGGAAAGTGAAGGAGAGACTTTGAAGGATCTCAAACTCCAAACAGAAAATTAACAGTTGGGAAACAGAGGCATGTTCATCCTAGTCCTATTGAAAAAAGTAAGTAGCAAAATAGGTAGTAATTAATTTGAATGTTTTAATTAGAAACACTCAGCACAGGACTTTGATTTGAAAAAAAAAGTATTACATTGACTTTAGTTGCAAAACCAGATTTTTATGCCTTTTATTAAAAAAATAAAAATCCAAGTTAATCATTTGGCACAATTTACAGTGGAAAGGTTTTCAGCCTTCTGCACAGTTCCTGTAAAAAGGTTTTAGTATCATCTTTCCAACAGTGATACAGTAATACTATCTGTTTGAGGGGCCATGCATCCCCCTGAGGATGTGGTTGGGTAAGCTGGAGTAATCAAGGTCAAGACTTTTGAGAAGGTTTAATTATGTAACTCTTGCTGTAATTATAAGGCTTTATCCATCTGAGTGGGCAGTAAATCCTGGCCCCACAATTGTGGTAGAGCTGTGATCATCAGCAGAGTGCAAGATCTTGTGGAATGACATCAAAATCATGATTCCTCCCTATGCTATTGTGTAGTGTGTTATCCAGCTAGTGAGGAAAGGGGAGCAAGGGACAAACCAAGGGAAAGTGTCACTGGGCCTGTGTAGCCTCAGCGTGGGAGTTTGGGTTGTACTCCCAGCCTGGGTCAGATGTACTGTAGTAGCTCTGGGTAGAGTTAGCTGGATTCAGCCAGTAACTTGGTGTCAGCACAGAGGCCAAAGCCAGGAGTAAGACTGGCAGGAGTAAAGGGGGTGACTCCAGCAGATGACAGTGGACAGTACTACATGCTAGTTCAAATAAAACATGATGTCATAAAAATTAGTATTAGTGTACCCAGTTCTAATTAAGGCCTTTGTTGACATACTGCAGGAGCTCAGCACCACTGACTCAGTCCAGGGATGTCTGTGCCACACCCAAGGGTGTCTGGATTTACCCCTACTTTCTGTAATCTCATTACCCTGGAGAACCATCTGAAAGCGTTCTTAACACCAGCCTGTGTCCAAGATTTCCTAGGTATGTCTTCTTTCTGCCTCAACTCTGTCTAGACAGATTCAGAGATTGTCTCAGCTTGTCCTAGATTTCTGGATGACTGCTAGCCCATAAAGCTGGCTGTTACAGCAGGGGCACAAGAACTCCAAACAAGCTGCCATACCTTTGAAATCCCAGCCACACCCACAGCACAGATGTTGTTTCCAACAGCAGTGAGCTATCTAGGCCTAAGCTGATCAAATATGTTGTTAATTCTTTTCTGAGTGTATGTACATACTTTACTGAAAATTGACAACTTTCTCAAAAGTTATTCAGAAAAAAATAAATAAAAGTTTTTGAGGACATTGGTATTTTTTTCTAAGTCAGAACTCCAGGCCATACACGAAATATTTAATGGGTAACTTTGCTTCTACTGGCTCTCCATCCTGCAGGTAGGCACAACCTCTCCCACCCTGCTTGCACCAGGTAATGCATTAACCATCCCTCTGCCCTGCCCCAGTATTTACCCAAACCACTGAATCTTATTAAATAAATTTTAACTCAGGGAAATTAAAACTTTAGTTTAAAAAAATTACAGCATTTACACAGCAGCTTCTTAAACCACTAGCAAAAAGTAAAAACACGATAAAAATTCATTAAATAATGCTTTCTACAACACACTTGCAATTACACCATTAATTACACCTGTTATGGTAGCATATGTTACAACTTGCCTAGAAAAGGCTAAACAATGTTCCCTCTCCCCAAGATTTATTCAAGATTTTCTTGAACAAATAATCCAACAAAGTTCATAAAAAAATTCTTCTTTCTTTTACAATATATTGTATTCAACTCCTGCACATGGCACTACCTCTCAAATTAATAAATACACATGCAGGTTTCAAACACAGGAAAAACATTCCTGAATTGTTCTTCCTCTGAATAATAAACTTTTCATTAAAATCAGGAAATACTTGAAAAGCATTAGAAGGGATAACAGATGAATTTCACAAGTTAAAAAATCCTCCCATAAAAAGATAACAAAATATGCATAAATGAGAAGGATGAAAAGGTGAAAAAAGCCATTTGCTTGGGTCTGTTGGGCAGTACCTGTGGTCTGAGTGGGGCACTTTGTTAATACTTCTGGTGCTCTGAATCCAGGTGTTCCTGCCCTGGGAGCCACTTGCTGACGCCTTGTAATAAGAGACAAATATATTTAGAATGTAAAAGTTGATAAGTAAGTTCTAAATCTAATAATACTTACTATTATTTTTAGAATATACTTGTGTAAGATGTGTAAATAACCTAACCCTGCTTTATTCAAGTTTTACAAAGGTTTCAAGCATCTTATCTAGCATGAAATCCTAAGATACACACATAATAGCCTTATGATCTATTATATTATATTTTAATTATCTTATCTAGCATAAGATAATACCAGAAAAATACATATTGCATATTTAATTCACAATGACCTTTTCTTAGTTTCATCTAAGAAAAGTGTCATTTTTGTTAAAGGCTTATCTTCATGGGAAACTTGAAATTAAGGCTAATTAACCCAAGGCAAAAAGTATATGAGATTCTTGAGTGTGGATGCTTTGTGTTAGTGCAGAGCAACCCAAGGGTTGTTCTCAGTGTTACCAAGAATCTACTTTTTGTTGGATTAACTAAAAGGTTTGAGGTTATCATTAATGCACACATTATTTAAAAGATAATGTGTGCATAAAAGGCAATAGTAGATCATAACCAAAACTACCTGCAGAGGGATGGAGTTTAACTCAGCTACTGAGATTCTGCAGCATGAGGCACTGGCACAGGTTGCCCAGAGATGCTGTGGATGCCCATCCCTGGCAGTGCTCAGGGCCAGGGAGGATGTGGTTTGGAGCAGCCTGATCCAGTGGGAGTTGCTTCTGCCCAAGACAGGGGGTTTGGAAAAAGATGACCTTTAAGGTTCCTTCCAACCCAAACCATTCTGGGATTCTATTAGTTTTTTGGATGAACAAATGCAAAACAGTCATGCTTCCTTTTTATTCTACATTTCATGATTTCCGGAATCCCGACTGTTGCTATAATTTAGGCCTATTAGATAACTACTACATTTTTCTAAGTGTTGTAATTAACTCAAGGGATTTTCTACAACAGATGTAGGTGAATAAATAAACACAACAAGAAAATAATTACCAGTGAATCTTTCTAGCTGTAGATAGCAATTAACTAATCCATGAATTCCAGGAACTATTTTTGTTTAAAAAGAGCATACTCAGTGTTTTAAGGGCTGCAGAGATCAAATACTATCTTTCACTTACAATGACAGAAAAGAACACTTTTCTAAGTGTTGTAATTAACTCAAGGGATTTTCTACAACAGATGTAGGTGAATAAATAAACACAACAAGAAAATAATTACCAGTGAATCTTTCTAGCTGTAGATAGCAATTAACTAATCCATGAATTCCAGGAACTATTTTTGTTTAAAAAGAGCATACTCAGTGTTTTAAGGGCTGCAGAGATCAAATACTATCTTTCACTTACTAAATCAGCAGTATAGTAAATCTAAGTTTCTGACTTTGCTTGACAGAAAGTAGACAATTTTACAACATTATCAAAGCAAATTACCTTGAAAGGCAAACACTGCAAACTCTGTCCGTTGCATAACAGTCACAGAGCAGGTTTAAAGGGGAGCCACTGGCAGCTTTCCTGGCTGCCCCATTGTTCACAGTTTTGGTAGAAATAATCTTCTTCTTTGTTACTAACTTCCTAGATGAAACATCTATCATCTTTGATTGTTTTATGAGCTGCAATGGAGATATTTTAGAGAAGGTGACATATTTCAGACGTTTCCCTTTACATATAGAAAGGACGGTTCCTAAAATACCAACTTAACAGATGCTGATGAACAAGAATTTTAGAACAGAGAGCAAACCTTTTTAACAGTATCAAAACTACTATAAAACAGACACTGGAACTTTCTAGATAGACTGACTTCCTCCCCTTCGGAATACATTTTCAGTGTTTACTAAAAACCAATATATATTAGATATTCTGAAGCTACAAGACAAGTATTTTTCAAGTTAGTACAGTGTTTCAAGATTTTTGGCTCAACATGAGAATAAGAAAAAAAAGAATATGAAATGACACAGCAACACACTGACACTAACTCTAGTTCTACAATAAAATACCATAAACCAAACCTTCTAATTAGTTAGGGTTTCCCCCATGTCATATTAAATACTAATTACAGAAAAAATAGTTACAAGTTTTATCCTCAGCTTCAACTGCAAAATATTTTTTTTTAAATGTCATGAGGTAAGTAGGGAGTGGCTTAGCACAGGAACAGCTCCCCAGGGCAGTGGTCACAGCAGCAGCCTGACAGAGCTCAAGAAGCCTTTGCACAATGCTCTCAGGCACAGGGTGTGACTCTTGGGGTGTCCTGTGCAGGGCCAGGAGTCGGACTTGATGATCCTCATGGGTCCCTTCCAACTCATTTTATTTTGTGATTCTATGATTAGCTGCACAAATAGATGTATAGGAAAAAAGATTAACTTAGCATCCAAACAAAATCAGCTAGGGAGACAGCTACAGAACTCCTTGTTTAGGAACTTCAAAAGGGACTGAAACAGAAATGAAAAATTCTTTGAGCCTTTCAGGAAAGACACACTTAATAGTCTGCTCAAAACCTTGTAGTTCCACAGCATTCTGGAGCAGTGCTCAGTCTTAGAGAACAACCAGTTCTATACTTTTTCAAATATGCAGCAGGTTGATGCTACTGATGAGTCAATACTTCTTACTTTTGTGCTTGAGTTCTCCTGGTATGTAGAGATGTAGACATTGAAATTCCTCTCTCCGAAGACAGAGCGCTGGACAGAATGGTGCACAGAGTCCTCCTACAAGACCAGCAAAAAGGACAATAAGGATCCTCTTTAACAGGGATCTGGGTACTGGCAGTTCAGAACGAAGTGTCGAGTGCCATAAAACAACAACAGCCACATGTAAGTAATTTTCAGGCATCAGGTTACTGTGGATGAAGAAACATGGTCTAGACAGAACAGCAAACATGTTTACAAAACCAATCACACCTCTGAAGTGCCCCAAGACGATCCAAGTGTAGTCTGTACTGCACTTGTTATGCAACCAGTAACTAAACACAGGTGAATGATTATTGGCTTGGGGAGGTGTTTCCCCATCCGTGTCTCTAAAAAAGGATTTAAGGCTGTCTATATAGTAACTTATGTTAGGGTTTTATACAGCCTTCAGCACTGTATTACAGCTAACAGATAATGATGAAGCCAATAGCTGTGTAGAAGCAGCTCCTTAGATATGAACACTGTGCTGCGTGCAGGCTCAGCTTCTGTGCAAGTACTGCATCTCCCCCTGTTGGATGAAGGAACACATTAAATATATACAACAGCATTAATGAAAGAGACTGAGAACCTTTCCTCCTCTTCCTTGTTTCATCTGTACTTTTGAAAGTGAGCTGGACCTTCTGTCAGCTGCTTTTGAGGCTGACTGTTGAGCTATCTGTTTAGGTGCTGTGACAGAAACCCCATTTCCCAAGGTTACAATGGGGTTAGTTTGCAAGCAACTTCCCTGCTGGTCTTCAGAGTGGGCAGTTTTAAGAAGCTCAATTTTCGTATCAGGGGTTCCTTGTGCCAAGCCAAAATCTACCAAGGCATACCTGAAAAGACAAATTCAGAATCAGGAGTCACAGAGCATCTATAATTCATTCAATTTACTATTCATTACTTACTTATCTTTCTTTACATTTCATTCAATGTTGCTTATCTGTACTGTTGCCAGCATCACAGTCCCATTTTCTTCCTTCTCCTCCTACTGACCCATCTTACCTATCTCCTCAATGTTTTCACCCTACACCATTGTTCATTGTTTCTTGTCCCAAAATCTTATCAAGTGCCTCCTTTCTCCAAAGGTATTTTAAAAAATATTTCCAGCAATTTCTTTCTGAAGTTCTTCTAATCCTACAGCCCTGAATTTTCAGTCAGAAGTCAAGTACAAGTGACTCTACTCTTGCAGGATTCCCACGGGCAGAGGACAAAGGTAGCAGTGAAGACAGACCAGACCAATGGCGCTTAAAGTTTTGACAGAATTCTGGCAAATACTACTGGAATTTACTTTAGTCTTCAAACAGGTAAGGCTACATTAGTTCACACTTCAGATCTGTCTCTAAGAGAATTATTTTTTGCTACAACCAGCACAGAGACAATCCATCTGTCCCTGGGTCTCAAACTCAACTCCACACTCTAAATGCAAGTAGAGATTAAGGCTCAAAAAATGCAGGAAGAGCAAAATGACAGTACGTATTCATTTTGACAGATTAAAAAATAAAACCCAAAACAGTATTTCTCAAACTTTTAATCTTGAAGTTTGGCAAAATGCAATCAGATCTCCCCTACAAACTGTCACTGCATAGAATCACAGAAACATTTAGGCTGGAAAAGACCTTTAAAATCAAGTCCAATTGTTAACCCCGCTCTGCCAAGTCCCACAAAACCGTGTCCCTAAGTGCTGGATCTACAGGTCTTTTAAACTCCTCCAGGGATGGTGACTCAACCACTTCCCTGGGAAGCCCATTCCAATGCTTGATAAACTTTTTTCTAATAATATTTAATCTAAACCTTCCCTGGTGCAACTTGAGGCCGTTTCCTATCATCACTTTTTACATGGAGTTGTGCATCCTGCTGCAGTGCTTTGTTTTGGACACACTCCAACACCTCAGTGTCTCACCTTTACAAGCACAATGCTAACAAATACAGGTGTAGGACTGCTAGCACTGAAGCATTCTGTCCATTTCAGCTCTTCACAAAGCAATACCTCACTTTTTACAATCTTTAAATTTTGTAACTTGCAGGCAAAAGAGCCAACTCTACTAGTTATAAACATTAATTCAGTGTAAAGTGAAAACAGCCCAAAGCCAGCTATCTTACCTGTATCAGTTTTACTCTATCCACTATTAAAAATGTACAAGGATCATTCTATGCACCACAAGTTACAATTAAATTTATTAAAAAAACCTCCATATTTATTTTTCTCATTCGTATTTGAAAATGTAGTACTTTTAATCAGTAGTAAAATCTTCATTTTATCAGGTCTTTGTCACTCTATCAAGCAGATAATACATTAAGTAAAAAACAATCCTTCCCTTCTTAAGTCCCTTAACAGTGAAAGAAAAATTTTACAAATAAAACCCCACATTTTTAGCTTTATGATTTAAGCACATGTTATGCAGCTGGAAGGAAAGAAGCCTAAAAGCCTAATTGACTCTGTTCTGCCAAGGCACACATCCCCAGATGAGATCACAGTATGGCCAGACTCACTTTTTTAGCTGCCTGTTGTAGAGGAAGTTGCTGGGCTTGACGTCGCGGTGAACAATACCGAAGTGATGAATGCGCCTCAACGCTTTAAACAGATTGAACATGTACTCCCTCACTTCTTCAAAGGAAAGGGAATTCAAAATGTCCTGAAAGAGTATTTGGGTACTGTAATTTATAGAATCATAGAATAATTATAGAATAATTATCCATCTGCTTTTAATTAAATGTTTTACTACATATCAAAAGTCTGAGACTCACCAAGAAGGACTCATGCTCCAGATATGGCATAACAATAACAACGTGATCGTTTTTCCTAAAGCAGTATTTAACTCCCATAACATTATCTTGTCCCCTAGAAGAAAAGTAGTATTAGTGAACAAAGACCAGAAAATGGATGTTTATTTTCCTTTATTTCTTCAAAATACAAACTTCAGTCAGGCTTTCTTTTATAAACCTAATTTATATTTTGACAGCAGTCTTATCAACAATCAGCACTTGTGCTCTTGCTGCGAAGCTGTGTTCCATTTGACCTCCATTTTATGCTCCATTCTGCAGTTTGGAATAGAACTACAGATTAGCTGTGGGGCTGTGGTTTGTAGTTAACACTGTAATTAATATAGGCCCTATAACTTTCATGATCCTACTACTTTAAGAAAGTGCTATTCAGAACACTCCACCTACAAGTATCCATTCCTAAAACCCTATTTCTAATGAAGTGATTCTTTTTTCCAAGCATTTCAGAACTGGAACTTTGTTACCACAAAGATATATAAGGGAATTTCTCAGCTGGTAAATAGTGCACCCCTCCAAACTGAGACTAGCAGCAAAGGGCATCTATGACAGGTAAGACACTCCTTTTGTTATCTGCTCTCAAGAAAAGAATATATATATGTGTGGTTAAAAACAAATCAAGAGAAGTGACAAAACTTAAGTAAATACAAAACAGTGAGACAACATTTAGCACTTCTGAAAATCGTAATTTTTTTTGTTTATGTACCCTGCCACTGTGAGGCACTGAAGTTCAGCAGCTATTCGCAGAGGGTGGCTGGTTGGAATCAAGTGCTTCAGGGCCATTTTCTCCTCATATCCTGTTTGTAACTGTGCTGTGGCCAAGTAAACAGAACTAAAAGTACCTGTAAACAAAGGAGAAAAACATTGTCTTCAACATTTTTAATTAGGTCAATGCAGATTTTTACAGAAGTGATCTAACTGTTCACAATCTGGCAGTACACTTGATACTACATCAAAAGCAGAGTCTAGAAAAGAAAAATCCAGTTCCTTTTTTCTACTACTGAATATACTGATCTTGTATACAAGTTTTTTATGTCAGTAAAAATGCAAATATAACACTGTCTAACTTGCCTGGGACACAGTGCTCTTTGAATGTAAATTTCCTATCTTTGATTTGCTTTCTTGTTTAGGTAGCTTACTTTCATCTGACATCTAACTCCTCTCCCTACAATGTAAGAGGACTGTATAATGCTAATCTGAAAAGCACTGCCAGTGCTATTCAAAGCACTTCTGAAATTGCTACATTTTCCTTAATTCTGTAGCTTATCTATAAAGTAAGGCTTCCCACATGATGTGTAACTGCACTGTTTATTTGCCCAGAGCATTTTACCACATCCAATGTGATACACTTGCTTGAGAAAGGGAGTATTCAGCCTGTATGACATCTTACACAGCCATTTAATTTTAGGGATATCCTAATAAGCATCTTAGGAGGTTAATTTGTGCCAATGATCTGAGATATCTGAACATACAAATTGAAGTGTTCTTCCATATGAATAAAGAATAGAAATTACTTTTGATTACATTTTAAGTACATTTTAATGTGTTTGCATTGTGCTGGTTCAACAGTATGAGTGTAAACATACATCATAATGCCAGCAAAACCTAACTACTTCACACAGGCATAAAAAAAAATCCCAAACAACCTGGAGACCCATACCTTCAACAGAATTGACTGCAGCAACAAGGGTTACCAAATTTGACTTAAGACATTATATTCGGTGGTGAGAACTACTAAAGTGAAAGTGTTTGCTCCCAAGAGTAAAATCAGAGTATTATTTTTAACCAGAAATTTTGTTTAACTACACTATCTTTTTTATGATAGGTAAAAGGATTTTTTTTTAAATTTTATTCCTGTGGGTAATGGAGCTGGAGGTTTTTAAGTAGTTTGATGGTTTTTGAAACAAAAACTCTTAGGCATCTCAAAAAGTGCTGAAATTCCATACTCAGAAGTACCTGAATCTATTTACAGTCATGGCTGACACTAATTTAAGGTATTTGCAATACTGTCTTGTTAAAGACAAGGTGAACAGAAGCACTCTAAAATTTGATACTGTATGTCTTCAAAAATAAAAAAGTTGCTCATTTTTTAAGTAAAGCAGCTCTAACCTTTCAGTTTCCTTATCCACTTCTGCCCAAGAGATTTTAGTAGAAACAAAGCTAACTTAAGGAACACCAATTAAGTGTGTCAAAACACAGCTACACATACATAGATTCCTCATGTAAGGGAGAAAATGAATGGATTTTTAAGACTATTTACTTGAATCAACATCAGAAATTTTTAATTGCCAAAATTGGAATGCTGTTTTTTTAAAAGGCTTTCATATACCAGATTTCCATGAAAATATCTTGAAAGTGTTCCTAATTAATATACCTATATGCTCAGAAACATATTATAATTCCTACAGAGACCATACAGTAAGTAAAAAAAGGCATTTGGCTTAAATTGCGTATATTGGGGTCTCTTATGTACACTTTTTAAGCTAGAAATGCCAAAAGCAATCTTAACTCTAAGCATAATAAAATGAAACATTTACCTTCCCCGATTTTTTCCTTTATTTTGAATACATTTACAAGCTGTGGCACTGCTTCATAAAGTTTTTCAATATCTTTTTTTACTCCTGCTGTGGGAAGAATGGGGAAAATAAGTTAGGAATTTTATTACTTGATTCAATATCTCATCTATTTTGGAGATCACAAATTATACTTCACTTCATAGGACTGTAGATTCACATACACAGAATAAAAAACAGGACAAAGGTATCCTATCCTGTTGACGTTAGCATGTGGATATTGTTGTTCTTCACCACACTCCTTTCCAAGCTTCAGCATTTAAACAATTTTTTTTACTTATCTCACAGATAGCATATCCTGAGAGGGCAAAAGCTGCCTGGTTTGTAGGACACCTACAGCTCATCACTAAATGTTTCCATGGAATTTGCAACAGCAATTTGACAAAAGGCAAAACTGTAACAGTTGTTTCTGTAAGTACAAATGCAAATCATCAGACGCAAATCACAAATGCAGAAAAAGCAGTATTTTCTAGATATTTTTAACATTGGTAATGCAATCCTTCCCACTGTTAAAATAATTGGCAGCAAAGCCCCTGTTTGCTCTGCATTTCAGCTGCTGCACTTCATGCTGCAATCACTAGATGGCACGACAAGGATGCTGCACTGTATGATTTCAAAAAAATCATGTAGTTTTCCATTCAGTTTACAAATCCTTGTTGTTCAAGCCTTTTCTATACATCACATAAGAATTAATTTCATTTGAAGCTATCAGTTGTGTAGAGGCTGTGACTAATTTCTGTGAAGCAGGGGTAAAGAATATTTCAGTATAGAGAACTAAGCACAAACTAGTATTTGTGAAAAGTCAATCAAATGTGTATACATTTTTCATCCTAAAAATAAATAACAAATTAAATTCAGCATAAACAGATAAATGTAATGTATTCTATATGTAAAAATGGATCATGTTTCACCAGGGCAGTAAGTCATAAGCAATAAGATTTTTTTTTTAATCACAGATATGCTAGAATCAAAGCATGGATTAGCATGCATCCCTAGCCTTCTATGTAGCTTACTTTAAACAACAACAAGAACTGTCTAAAGAACACTTTCTTCCTGCTAAAAGCTCAATAAATCAGCTAGTAATTCAAGTAATATTTAACTTCCAATTTATTTTTTTTTATTTCAAGATTTTATAAAAACTAACATACTAAAAATGCTTCTGAGAACTGAAACCTGCTTCCTCACTTAACTATTTACATATTTACATGAATTGTTTTTCCTTTAAGTTGTTCTCTCTGCTTCTTCAAATTATTGTAAGACATTTTGGGAAATATTTCAGGAATTAAAAAATCCTAAGGTATATACTAACAGCCATGGAGAACTAACTCAACAACTGCTGTAGAATCTGCCAGGTAATCCATTTTGCCCAACACTGAATTCAGATTCCTCCCTGGAGAGAGTTAAAGCTGTCAGACCCTTCAAGCAGGGTGGCAGAGGCTGCAGTGCCACCCAAGGCACTGACAGCATTTAGGAGCTCAATGGAACCAGTTTGTGTGAAAGAGAAAAGTGCTGCAAAAAGTCAGTGACTGTCCTGTTGCAAGACAGGAGTATAACATCACCTGGTCTGTTCTGGGGCCTGAATCCTCAGCTGGGTGCAGAGAACATGCACTCATTGTGCCATCAGGGCAATAATCCTAATAACATTAGCCAGCATGTTCTGTGAGCAGATTTTAGAGTGATTTCTTCTCATATTTACAAAGCAATACAAACACTATTCAGCATCAATCTGGGCAAAATACTGGGTTTGTGCACTTGTCTGGTCAGTTTTATTCTCAAGGGCTGGCTTTTTTTCATTCTGGTATACTCTTATACGTTCTGTAATATATAAATAGTAGGTTTAGCAAAACTGCTGTTGCTGAAGTTTTGTAGCACACAAACAGCAGGAATAACCTCAAAATCAAAAGCAACCTCAAATGTTTTCATTTTGTTAATTCTTTATACAACAGGATCATATACAGACAGGCTTATAATCGATACTGAAATTTCCCTACGTGGTGAAGCAGCATGTCAGCAACTAAATGTAATGTTGACAATCCCTGTTCCAGCACATACCTGAAAGCTTGCTGTTCTGCTCAGGATTCCCGTGGAAGGCTTCAGCCTGCTGAGGGTGCTGTTCATCACAGGGAGACTTCAACACTGTCTCCATCACAAAACCAGCCTCAAATAAAAACAAATCCAAGACTTCGAGGGTCACTTCTGGACACCTGGGGGAGCAAGCACATCTGGTAAGACACTTCCCTGCACTCAGTTCCTGAGATGAGATTTAGGGAGTCTGGGGAGTTCCTCTGTACTACCTAAAACAAAGTGCCACCCACCATCCCAGTGACACAGCAAACCAGAAAAACAACGAGGATAGAGGGAGGGAAGGGAAGGAAGACTGCAGGATAAGCTTAAATGCAACTGACTTTCATCTCTCATTTTTCCTCATTCACATTAAAGCATTGTCTTTTCCCTAAAGTTTGCTTCGAAAGGCAAGGAATGCACACAGACAGAAACAGCAGCACTGCACACTGCAAAAGCTATAGAAAGCCAGAAAGACTGAAAGAAATTATAAGAGAAAAAAATACCTTCTCCATATGAGATCTCTCCCTCCTAGATAAATTCAGCAAAACACATAATTATTCATTGCCCTCCCACCACAAGAAAAATAGAACATGCTTATTTTGAAATGCTTCTTCCCAAATCTTAGAAACACTACATAGAACTGTGAACTAGTAAAGTCCATTAGTACTGTGCAATCAAAAAACCCCGATAATCCCTTTTTAGGAGGTAAAGAGTGGCAGGGACTGCCAGGGCAGAACAACCAGTGATAAGCAGCCGGGAAGCATCAGTTCTTACAGTCACTCAAAACTGCTTCCATTCCGCTGCTCCCGGCCCTCACGGGACAGCCCTGCCGGCGAGGCCCGGGCCCAGCGCACGCCGCGGCTTCCCCACCGGCCCGGGGCTCACGGCGTGCGGACGGGCCCGCCGGCTCCGCTCCGGCCGGCCGGGGGAGCCGCCCCCGCGGGGATGGCGGGCACTGAGGGCGGAGGGGGCGCGGAGCGGGGCCCCCAGAGGAGCGGCTCGGCTGGGCTCGGTTCGGCTCGGCTCGGCTCGGCTCGGCTCGGCTCGGCAGGGA